GAGATGGCACAGTGGAAGAGTATGTTCATACTGTTTGTGTGGACTTATGTTTTCTAGTCTCTAGAGTATCTACATCAAAGTGGAATTGCTGGGTCATATAGTAACTCTATGTTTAATTTTTTTGGAGCACTAACAAACTGTCTCCCAACGCAACCATGCAATTTTATTTCCATCAGCAATATATGAGAGTTCTGGTTCTTCTCATCCTTGCCAAGATTTTGTTGTTGTCCATCTTTTTTTTTTTTTTATTGTAGCTATCCTACTAGCTGTGAAGTCACATTCATTGTGCTTTTAATTTGCATTTCCCTAATGACTACTGATACTGATTATCTATTTTCATAAACTTATTGGCCTTTTATGTATCTTCTTTGGAGAAATGCACATTTAAATCCTTTGCCCATTTTAAACTTGTTTATTTGTCTTATTATTGATAAATTATGAGAGTTCTTTACATATTCTGAATACCTAATGTATTATTAAGATCTAACACCATCTTTACAAATACAGGATAGCAATATTTTTTCCCATTCTTTTTCAGATCTTATTTATTTGAAAGGCAGAGTTATAGAGAGCAAAGGAGAGAGACAGAGAGAAGGAGAGAGACAGAGAGAAGGAGAGAGACAGAGAGAGAGAGACAACTTCTATCCACTGGTTTACTCCCCAAATGGTCACAATGGCTGGGACTGGGCCAGGCCAAAGCCAGGAGACAGGAGCTTATTCTGGGTCTCCCATGTGAGTGCAGAGACCCAAGGACTTGAGCCATCCTCCACTGCTTTCCCAGGTGCATTAGCAAGGAGCTGGATCAGAAGTGGAGCAGCTGGTACTTGAATGAGTGCCCGTATAGGATGCCAGTGCTGCAGGCAGTGATTTAACCTGCTACACCGCAGCACCGACCCCCATATTTTACTTTCTTGATGGTCCCCTTTTAAGCATAAAAGTTTTAAATTTTGTTGATGTACCATTTTCTATTGTTTCTTTTGCTTTTGTTGTTCTAAGAAACTATCACCTGGGGCTGGCATTTTGGTGCAGTGGATTAAAGTCCTGGCCTGCAACACCAGCATCCCATATGCATGCTGGTTTGAGTCCTGGATGCTCCACTTCTAGTCTTCTACTATGGCCTGGGAAAGCAGTAGAAGATGGCCCAAGGCCTTGGGCCCTCACCCAGAAGAAGCTCCTGGCTCCTGGCTCCTGGCTTCGGATCGGCTCAGCTCTGGCCATTGCAGCCATTTGGGGAGTGAACCAGTGGATGGAAGACCTCTCTATCTCTCTCTTTTTCTCTGCCTCTCCTTCTCTCTCTGTGTAACTCTGACTTTCAAATAAATAAATAAAATTTTTTAAAAAATTAACCCAGAATTAATAGAAATCAGAAGTTTGGTTGTTATCCTGTATTTGTAAAGATGGTTTAGACCCTATTTAGGATATATAGATTTTATATATTTATAGAATGGAACAATTTAACTTGAGAAACCAGTGCAGTATTTAGTGACTGCTGGGTTAGGGGCCAGCAACAGTCTATACACTGTATTTGTTTAAAGTTTCTTGCTTCTTATTTATTTATTTATGACAGGCAGAGTTAGACAGTGAGATAGAGAGAGACGGAGAAAAAGGTCTTCCTTTTTCCGTTGGTTCACCCCCCAAGTGACCGCTACGGCCGGCGCGTTGTGGCCAGCGTACTGCGCCGATCTGAAGCCAGGAGCCAGGTGCTTCCTCCTGGTCTTCCATGCGGGTGCAGGGCCCAAGCACTTGGGCCATCCTCCACTGCCCTCCTGGGTCACAGCAGAGAGCTGGACTGGAAGAGGAGCAACTGGGACAGAATCCGGCGCCCCAACCTGGACTAGAACTCAGGGTACCAGCGCTGCAGGTGGAGGATTAGCCTAGTGAGCCTTGGTGCCAGCCAGTTTCTTGCTTCTTAAAGATGAATTGGGACACTTCAACTTTGATGCTGAAGACAGATCTACTGAACTAGCTGAGGGGGATGGAGTGGAAAGCAGGGGGAAGTATGAGAGAGGATGGTCTTTGACCTCAACCTTTTATTACTTCTTTGTTTTCTTCTCTCAAAGAGAGGCAGGCATCTAGATATCCTCACCCCAGAAGTTGATGGATTTTGGGATCTTCCACTAGTCCCAGCCACTCCCTTTCCCATCAGCATGAAGGAGGGGAATGACAGGCCAGCTGTACCTCCCAGAGATGAAAACAGCTCTCTCTGGACTGGTTGTAAGTAAGGAGTCTGGCCAGAAAATTATTCTAATGGTCTTGAGAATTATTCTAAAGCATGAGTCTTCTTTTTTTAAAAACTTAACTGCAGTTTAATAATGTCATTGTAATATTATTCTGTGTTCATCATGAATTTATTTTATGGGTCAGAATAAAACAGACCCACAAATGATGGAATATCTTCCAAGTAAGGGATTATTAGTTGCAAGAAACCAGAACTTTCCAAAAGAGCCACAGTTAAGGAGGGGACCATAAGGTGACAAGAGAATATTTTGGAAGTCAGCTATAGGGAGTGATCCTGGCCTCTAGTTTTCTCCTACTTCTTTCTCTTGCAAGTGTCCCCATGAACGATGGGAATTCACATCTCTGCTTGTCTCTGTATACTATGTGCTTCCGTTTTCTGCATATTCAGATTGATGGTTAGACTCAGTAGTCTTTGTACATGACCACCCTCATAAAAATCCATCCCAGCCCCTCCGTACATATGACTGCCCAACTTTGTTCTGCAAATCCAGTTGAATCAGTTTTTTGAGTCTTAATTCCAAATTTCCAGAGAGAGAATGTAATTGACTTAGCATAGGTCAGAATGTATGCTCAGTTCTATCAGTGTTTCAAGGGGCTGCCCCTTTAAGGAGGATGATTTTTTTTTTAAAGCTTTTTTTATTTTACTTGAAAGTCACAGTTACACAGAGGAGCGGGAGAGGGAGAGGGAGAGGGAGAGGGAGAGGGAGAGGGAGACGGAGAGGAGAGAGAGGTCTTCCATCAGCTGGTTCACTCCCCAGATGGCTGGAGCTGAGCCGATCCGAAGCCAGGAACCAGGAACTTTCTCTGGGTCTCCCACGCAGGTGCAGGGGCCCATACACTTGGGCCATCTTCTTCTGCTTTTCCAGGCCACAGCAGAGAGATGGATCAGAAGAGGAGCAGCCAGGTCTCGAACCAGCGCCCATATGGGATGCTGGCACTGCAGGCGGCGGCTTCACCTGCTACGCCACAGTGTCGGCCCCTAAGGAAGGTAATTTAATAAAAGAGATAAGGACTGAGATGAAATGAATGACAAGTGTGCTACATAAGGTAGACTAGAAGAGGAGGAGGCAGGTGATTTCTTGCTCATTGGAAAGAGGACAGTAATGAGAAATACTGAGTTGAGGCCAAGAAAAGCTAA